ATTCTGTACAGTGTAATTTGTGGGCACAATTATTTGGTGCTAGACTGACAGTAGACTGCAACTACAAATCGGTTTGCAAAGTTCAGCTGTTGGCAGGTTGTACAGTTCAGCTGTTGGCAGGTTAGGCTTGGAAGCAAAAATGTTGTTAGTCTAGCTGCCCGGATACTGTCATAGTTACCTCGTGGAATGTTAAGCAAAAATGAAAGGGAAAACAACTGACAAGAAAATATGATCGAGGTGTTCTGTGGGCGTCAGTGCTCTACATTATGGTAGAACTGTGTTGGTGATGGAAGTTTTGTACTTCAGTTGAGTTAGCTTTTAACTTGAGCTTAGATTTTCACGCCAATTGAGATAGCTGTGCACTGCGATTGAAGTAGCTGTTCGCTCGAACTGAGTTAGGGTTTGGTTCACTTGAGTTAGCTTTTGACTTCGACTGCTAAACCGAAACGAATATAATCCGTCTTAGACTAAACCATTCTCGGTCATCTTGTTTTGTAAACCGCTGTATGAGAAGCAATCATGCCGGTTTGTTTTCGCTTGTAAGTGGGGGAGAATGAGGCCATGAATATCTTGCTTCTGCCTTGCCATATCGGCCGTCCACTGACTTCACACTTTATTCACGGTTTGCTGTTGCTTTGTGTGTGTGTATCTCAGCAGAACAGTCTCAGCACCGCTTTCCTCCAGCAGCTCGCAGCTCCCTAAACCTCCCCAGCTGGCTCGAACGACATCGCGGTTAATATGTGGGGCATCAAGTGGGACGACTTCGTCTTCGACCTCTGGTTTGGCATCGGGAACCTCTTTCATTCCGGTTCCGTCAAGAGGACCGGGGGTCAGGCGATCAGTCCAGGGGCTGGCAGGGGCTGGACCCGGCGGGGCTAGTGTCTCCAAAGGCGGAAGAAGAATGTCTGTTTCCATGTCATCGAGTAAGTCGTGCGATGAGGACTCGTCGATACTTGGAACCTCCGCTGCTGGTTCTCCTCCTGTGTCTCCTATCCTTCCACCACAATGCACGGAAACGATGGCTGGGTGTTAGCATTAGGTAGGATTCTCTCGAGCCCATCATCGCTTGCATTTTCCCTCCCTTTTAACTGCTTCATTCACTCAAGGGATATCTTCTTCTCCTGCCCTCCATGAAGAGTTCTGTTAGCAGCCTGTCATGTTTGAAGCTATGTGGTTTCTTTAGCCTGGGCAAACAAATGGAACACCACTGTCAGTCAAGCAGGGAGGATGTAAGTGGGAGGACATATAAGGTGGGAGATTGGTGGAAAGATGGGTGGGATAAGGAGCAGCCTAATGGAGACAGGGGTGGAACGAGTGGACTGGTGGAGAAATGTTACAAAGGGTGGTGGATGTTAATTGGAAGGGATGGCGTGTATGGTAGCTGTGGATGGGTGAGGGAAGGAATGCTAAACAGGGAAGAGGATGGCATTGAAAAAGAGAAGGAAATCTACACCCTGTTTCAGAGTTGGAACAACTCGTGACAACTGCTGGAAAAAATTTAGCTTGTATGCATTCATTACACAGGTGTGTTGTGCTGGGGGGAAGACAGTACGATTGCAGCCTCTCCGGAGAGAGGAAAATGGGAAGATCGGAGCCATTGCATTCCAGGTGAGCGAGTGGATGGGCTGGTGGATGGGGGAAGACGGTACCATTTCTCGGGCACTCTGTGGCACTAACTAACACCTGCACTTGCAAACTCCACACAGAGGAAAATGGGAAAAGATTGGTGCCATTGCGTTCCGGGTGACCAGGTGGGGTTGCGGGCGGGTAAGCAGGCAGGCAGGCAGGCAGGCTGACAGACTGAGGGATGGACCGACATACATCAGCCATGACAAAAGAGATCTCCTTGCGCTTAATGCTCTCTGGCGGGCGGGTGAATGGTATGGTCGGCCGTCTGTCTGCACATGTGAACTAGCATTTTTTTTCACATCTGTCAGCCTTTGGGCTAAGATAGAGTGAACCATCTGTTCCTTTTGTTGTTAACTCACATGTTTGTAGTTTCTGTTCTGATCAGTTTAATTTCTGATCCCGTGGTGCTCAGGAACAGGGAAAGAAAAAGAAAAGCCTGTGTACTTTAAGCCACTGTGTTTGGACTTTCCTATCGGAAGGTCTGTTGTGCTTAGTATGTGTTTGTTTCCTTGGATATCATAGGAATCAGGACATAGCTCTGGACGTGATTGCAGTCAGATTCATCCAGGTCTGGCCGTAATTTCAGTCAGATGCATTCTGGAAAGTGTGAATGTCACTCTTATCAGAAGCAACTGCGTCTCCTCCGTTCCTATCAGGGCTTTGCTATGATAGTTGCGGGATAAGTCGTTGTCAGAGTTCCCTTGCATGGCGTGTGCCTGCTTGGATATCCTGGGAATCAGGACGTCGTCGCAATCGGGACTTTTTTGACAAAGCGCTGGACGTGATTGCAGTCGGAGTCATCCCGGTCTGGCCATAGTTTCAGTCGGATGCATTCTTGGAAGTGCGAGTGTGAGTGTACCCTCAGATGACGAGTCACATATCACATAACTTCTAGGCTATACCAGAGTGGCCCGGCCGGGCCAAAAATAAATAAAAATATAAAAATAAAAAAATATTTTTAAATTTTAATTTTTATTCTAAATTTGGTGAAGAATATTTCGATGTGACCCTGAGGCAAAAGTTGTTCAGTTTATTTTTCTGCATAACATAGTTTTTTTTCGGATTTTTTGGCAGTAGCCGATGCAGATCCCAGGGGTCGATCCCTTGACCTCAGCTTACCTGTGTACAGTATCTGCACAGTTCCCTGGAGTTGAACCCGTGACCTGCACRATAGCCAGTGGTAAGTAGGTCGCCGTAGGTTGTAGGCTGTATGGAGATTCGAACTGTAGACCTGTAAGGTAGGAGTCCAAGTAGAGTCCAGAGGCCTAGCTGTAGTCCTTCTAGAAGGTCGGCAAGTGGTCGAGTGGTGAGTCTAAGGTAGGCCCACGTTTTCAGACGAAGACAAGTGGCAAGGTCAACAGGTAGGACCTCAGTGCAACTGCACTGAGTCGACGGTACGACTGCCTACAGTCAGCAGAAGGGTCTAGAGAGCCCCAGTCCAGTCCAGCAAGTACCACAGGGGGACTGTGAGCACCAAGGGCCGATGGCAAAGGGCAGACCAACGARTTTCTGAAGTATAAATCAAGAGGCAGCGCCCAGCCATTCATTCATTCCTGCGTGAGCCATGCGGAAGCGCTGCCACAGCGACTTGTGCAAGGAGGTCTGCAGATGAGCCCGGAGGACGCAGTGGGCTAGAGAGARGGAGTTAGCATAGCGATAGGGTAGATGCAGCGACAGCTGCCATAGCTGTAGTTAGTAGTAAGTGTGTGTGTGTTTGAGTGTTAGAGTGAAGCGTATGGGATATCCAGGGTGATCCAGTGTATGTGAACAGTGAGATGTTTGGGCGCTGAAGTCGCCATAGCCAATTGAGAGTGAACTCGTATCTGAAAGCCATATCTCTGAGTTTTGAGTGGGCGCATGTCGCCAGTATGCTGCGTTGCTGTTTACAAGCATGAAAAGTGTGTTTGAAAACGAGTCTGATTGCAGTTACCATTGATTGAGTTGGTATCGAGTTAGTATACTGAGCTGATAACGAGTCTCTCTCTGCATATCCTGCTCGCTGAGGAACTCATCTGCCTTCTCTCTCTGCTGCTGCAGGTTCTAAGGATTCGAGATCTGAAGCCGCAGACTCTGCAATGAGTGAGGGTGAGAATTCAACATCTTCAGAAAAATCCTTGGGCAGAATGCCATCTGGGGCCAACTCACGGTCAAGTTCTGCATCATCTTCGCCGGCGTCGACTCGCCGATGGATGTGAGACCCCACTATGGAGCTGGCGGTGGAAGTCGGTAGTTCCGCTTGAGAGCTAGCATGGGTTATGCCTCACTGCCATTGACTGCTTGCGTGCAGATTGCAGGCAGTTCCGGCTATGGCTATGGAGCTGGCGGTGTAAAGTGGGCGGGTAATTCCGACTTGTGGTGCACTGCTTGCAGGCAGTGGCTATCTTCGTAATTGCCACCTACCTGCGAATGGTGCGTACGAAGTGTATGTGCCAAGGCATTGGCAATGCGGCTAAAGAAGGTACACTATTGATATCGGCGTACTGTTGGTTAGCTGCAAGTGTACTTGGTTGGATGCACAGAAACCTTGCCAGCACTGACAGCGAAGAGGGGCAATGGAGGTGTGGTGTGGAAGGAGGTGTGAAATATAGTATAGTGTGAGGGTCAAGAAACAGGGAGGGGGGAGACCTTGTTGTTGTGCACGTGTGTTTTATTACCTGAAGCGTGAAGGTGGTTATAGTCATCTTTGATCGAAGCCTTGAGCGACAAGGTGCGGCAGTGCAGATTTGGAGCGCTGCCGCATCTGCGGCATAATTGCCGCTGGGCAGGAGTTTGTTGGCTTCCAGTCTTGAAATATACCTATTTCAGTTATCTTCTGTAGTTTTACATCGTCCACGCATAAGATGTGTGGGTGCGTTTGCTGGCGGGCGGGTTGTTGATAAAGTCACCTAGTTGCAAAGGAAACGAATTGCGAATGCATGCAGCCAGGCATTGAGACGACAGGCGGTTTGAGAGCACATTCGCTCTCTCCCCTGGCATGCTTCCCCTGGACTGTAGAAGACTGGGGGACAACATGAGTGATGTGATTCTTTGTTTTGTAGTAGTTTCATGATGTGTTTATTCGTACATCAAACGTGTTTAGCAGAAAACCAAGAGCTGTGTAGAAACGCTTTCTTCTTCCAAGGTTCGACGAGGTGAGAGTTTTGACAAGGCGAAGTCAACTCGGTACGGCATTTCGCGGTCCCAATGGCATCTGAACTTCTGAAGTGATGTGCTGGTGGTGCTTTGCTGACGATTTGATCGATACACATGGCAATTGTTGCCGAAGGAGGTGAGTAGGGAACGGTGGTGTGCTTCGCTGTCTGTGCACACAGCTGATGTGATGCGCTGGTGGTCCTTTGCTGACGAGTCGATCCATATGCGCCTGATGGGGTGATGATGTGTTGACGATTCAATCGATATGCACGGCAATGATCACCAGTGGGGGTGGGCAGGTAATTGGTGCAATTCCTCTGGCTGCATTCATTCCTGCTTTCTAGCCTAAGTTGTCCGCGGGTGTAGCTTCCCTCATTCATTTCCTTGATGAACTTAACTTGCTTGCTTGCTTGCTTGTAAGGTGATAATTTTTCTCTCTCACTTTCGACCGCGAACATGACTCCTGGCTGCCAATGTCAACCGGTGTGATCGCAGATGGCGTGACATGATGTGCAAGCTGAGCTGTCCATCCATCCATCCATCCATCCATCCATCCATCCATCCATCCATCCATCCATCAAATGTAATTATTGCTTGGTCAAATATGTTATAGAAAAGATGGCAATTCTCAAAGAGGGTTCGCAAAGGGTTTGCTGCCAGGAGTGCAGGTCTTTCTTGCCCACCGTTGCCCCCTACTTTGCGCAGACTGGCAGGGATGTGACAATGGAGAGTGCCAGTCGCTTGTTGAGCACAGTGGGAGGGCCGGATGAGGCTAGCTCTATCGCTTTGAACGGAGAAGAGACTGGCTACGTCGTGAAAGTGGATGAGCGTTTGGACACAGCCATCTTGGAGTTGTGAGCAGGGAGTTCGATGTCGACCGACCGCTGGACCGCTTGGAACTGAGGTCTGTGGGACTGTGGAAGCTGTGGCAAGTGGTTTGCAGGACAGCTGAAGCGACTGCAATTGGCTAGCATTCGACGACTGATGGAGAGCAGGATGGGGGCGGCGGGGCTGAGCGAGTCTGGCTTTGGGGGAGAGCAGTAGTGGGTGGAATGTCGGGGCGGGCAGCAAGAGGGGCGAAATGCGTTTTTTTGCCGTGCTATTAAGAGTACAATGACTGATGTATGGTTGGGTTTGCTTCGTGCAGGTTCCGACTGTGTGACCTGTGTCCTGTTCGCGTGTCAGGTGAGGAAAGTGTACTAAATACAGTCCTCTTCGTGTAGCAAATAATGGGAGGGCTTAACTATGTTGGAGACGGGGTTCGGTTGCAAGGAGCTTTGTGATGTATGTGTGGTATTTATTCTGGAGCTTATGCCCTTACATTTGGAGTTTCGCCTGTGCAAGTTTCATATCTGTCAAGGTTACCAAGACTTGACACATTTGCGTGGAAAAGAAAGAGTGTACCGTCCTTGTGGGTTAATGTTACGCACATGCAACTGTTACTAAACAGTTCATGAGTTCAAATCCTAGTGGATACAATAAGGTCAGGGCCCCCGCCCTCATGACGGGCTATCCCCCCGCGAAACCAGACTTGACACGTTTGCCTGGCATATGGCGAGGAATCTGCCTCGCTTGTTTTTTGCTGTAGAACAGACAGACAGACAGACAGCAATTTGTCTGTTGCGGTGCTAAACCTTCCTTTCGCTGCGTCCTGACCTGGTGTCACAGAGTCCCCTGGGGAAAAGGTATTATTCCATTCCTGACTCTCACTGCGAAAGCGGTTCCTGCTCATGACTCGTATTGAGACCGATGCTGGTTGATCAAGTACACATCAGTAGGAGTGTGCGACTGCGGTGATGAGTACTACTACTGATTATTACAGGTTTTGTCTCATTTTGACCTAACCGCTGATGTGGACGGGAAGTAGGTGAAAGGAATATTCCATTCCTCACTCTCACTGTGGAAGCGATTCCTGCTCACGACTCGTGTTGAGACTGATGCTGGTTGATCAAATACACATCAGTAGGAGTGTGTGAATGCGGTGACGAGTACTACTACTGATTACAGGTTTTGTCACATTTCGATGTAACCGCTGATGCGGACGGGAAGTAGGCGAAAGGGATTATTTTTTTTAAAAGATGGTCAGCAATTTGTTCCGTTTGCAAGCGGATTGTTCCAGGACCCACGTCTTGGGAACTGGGAGCGGTGGAGAGTCCGTCCGTTATTCGAAGGCGTAGGCACCTAAACCCACCGATTACAGATGCTGTTCCACTATTCTTGTTGTTGCAAGATGGGGAGGCCAACGAGGTAGTCAGGAGAGGCAGGCAGGTGAACCAGTGCGGTGGCTGGGACAGGGGCCGCCGTTTATGAACCGCAGGTAGCATTTCTGAATCGTCAGAACTTCAGAGGTAGAATTGGTCCCGGCTTTCCGGAAATGTCCGGCTGATTTTGACAGCTGCATGTTTTGCAAGCAGTTTAGGAATCCCATCGGAAGCCATGAAAGATTTTACCATAAGGTTGCCCAAGCGACGGCAACTTTCGAGGTCATTGGTTATATATGTATACATATATATATGTAGTGTCTGCTACCCCATGTCATGTAAAAGAGGTTTCACTTTCACAATATCGCTGCAATCCTAATTTACTGCAGTTGTGTGCAAATCTCACCCTATTATCTGTTCCTTCAGACTATTATGATGATGTCTGGGTCGTAAGAAGATTGTTTCTGCCCGGTTCCTCCTGTTTACTGCGACTGTTTGCTCAGTCACCCCTGTTTACTGCGATTGTTTGCTCAGTCCCTCCTGTTTACTCCGACTGTTTGCTCAGTCACCCCTGTTTACAGCGATTGTTTGCTCAGTTACCCCTGTTTACTGCAATTGTTTGCTCAGTCGCTCCTGTCTACTGCGACTGTTTGCTCGGTTACCCCTGTTTACCGCGATTGTTTGCTCAGGTGCTACTGTTTACTGCCGACTGTTTTTTCTCAGTTGGTTAGTTATCGGCACACTATGCTTTGCTCAGCTGCCAAGTCCTCACCAATCGGCGTTGAGAGGCCCAGTTACCCCTGTTTGCTCAGTCGCTCCTGTTTACTGCGACTGTTTGCTCAGTTACCCCTGTTTACCGCGATTGTTTGCTCAGTCGCCCCTGTTTACTGCCGACTGTTTGCTCACTTGGTTAGTTATCGGCACACTATGCTTTGCTCAGCTGCCAAGTCCTCACCAATCGGCATTGAGAGGTAAAGTGATTGAATGTCTCTATATGCCAGCACTGCCTAGCAGCAACATACTTTAGCTCCATCTGACACATGGAGACTCTCAAGCGTGTTACCTTTTTTTTTTTAATTTATCGTAAATGAAAGGCTACATGAAGGTAAAGCCTTTCGTGTTTCAGGTTCAGTAAGATAAAAAAGCATACCCGTGTTTTTACCCGACAAGTCTCAAGTGTATTGTACTCCTTTTGAGCATCCATTTCTTGACTCTTAGCCGACAAATTGTGAATGTGAATGCCCAGCCAGATGAATAGATGGATGGAGCTATAGCTCACACGTGTGCAGATTCCCTGCGCATGTGCGCACTGAGCTCCAGAGAGGATGCAAGTGAAAGGCGGTGCTTCCAGTTTAGGGGATTTAGCCCGTCACCACACCTTTTCTCAATCGCACGGCCGAACTCAAGGTGGCTTGCGCTCAACCTGATTTGGTTTATGGACTCGTGCCCCAGCAATGAGTCAGCATCCACAAGTCAAAGACCTGATTTGGTTGAAAGCGGGTCGCTATGTTTTCATTCACTCAAACTGGGCCACTCATGTGGGTCATTATGTGCTCTGCCTCTCGAAAGGCTTCCCCCCTTGAGGAGTCGTTATGTTTTCCTTCACTCAAACTGAATGATGTGATTGCAAGTCAACCAACCTTCCTTTTCTTTTGGTTAAGCTGGGGTCGAGCCGAGAACTGGGCGTCACTCATGCGCTCTCTCTACCTCCAGACTCCAGTGGTTACACTGTTCTTACCAGGACCTGTATGTGCTTTGCCTCTCTAAAGGCTTCCCATCTCCTTTAGTGTGGGCTATCTAGATGATGAGCGAAGTGCTGACATGGCGGCATTGGAGGTAGTACCAAGGTACTAGGCTACCATGGGTGAGATGATCGGCTTGATGATCTACAATGAAGAGATCGATTGAATGAGGTGAGAAACCAGTTAATTATATATATATATATATATATTTGACGATATATATATATATATATATATATATAATGAGCAAGCTGGGCATGTTCAGGTTGTCATGGCAGCAGCTCTGCAGGTTGGCCCCTGGGCGAATCATTAGTTTGTTCAGAAACGAGTGTGCTCTATTTGGGTGAGTGCAAGATGCACTTTGTTGAATGGTGATAGTAGCAGTCAAAAAAACAAGATTGTGCATGCAGTTCTATATGTGGTGTTGCGGTGCTCTTTAGTTCCCAGCAATTAGAGGATTTGTAATTGCTAGTAGCTTGGATCTGTTCTACATTCTGTCATTCTCTTGCCATTGTCCATGTGAAGAGGCGTTGTGTTTGCCCCGTCTACGTGACATCGACCGCATGGTGATCTCTCTCTCTCTCTCTCTCTCTCTCTCTCTCTCTCTCTCTCTCTCTCTCTCT